TTTCCATAGAAGCTGTACTATTTTACATTTCCATCAACAGAGCAAAAGCTTTCCAGTTTCTCCACATTGTTGCCAGCATTTGTTATTTTCTGGGTTTTGATAGCATCCATCCTAATGTGTGTGAGGGGACATCTCACTGTGGTTTCTATTTGCACTTCCTTTTTTTTTTTTTTTTTGTGGGACCCTCACCTGTGGCCAGGGATCGAACTGGCGCTGCAGAGGCTGCAGGCAGCCTCGCAACCCAGCGCTCAACTGCTGCTCCACTGGGGAGGCCCTCGATTTGCACTTCCTTAATGATTAGTGATGCTAAATATCTTTTCATATGCTCATTGGCCATATCTTCTTTGTCTTGTATATTTGGAGAAATATCTATTCAAGTCTTGCTCATTTTTAAAATCAGGGTTTTTTTGTTTGTTTGTTTTTGTTTTTGCTGTTAATCATAGAAGCTTTTTATGTATTCTAGAATTAGCCTCTTATTTCCCCTTATTCCATAGGTTGCCTTTTCATTCTAATTGTGTCCTTTGATGTACAGATATTTTTAATTTTGCTGCAGTCCAATTTATATAGTTTTACTGTCTGTGTTTTTGTTGTCATTTTCAAAAAATCTTGGCCAAATGCAAGCTCATAAAACTTTTTCCCTATGTTTTCTACTAATAGCTTTAGCAATTGCATTTAGGCCTTTAATCCATTTTCAGTTAATTTTTATATGTGGTGTAGGGTAAAGGTTCAACTCAATTATTTTACCACTAGAAATCTAGACTGGCACCTTACAAAAAACCAGTTGAAGGCTTATCTTATGCAAGGGCTTATCTCTGGGCTCTCTATTCTATTCCATTGGCCTACAAGTCTGTCTTTATGCTAATGCCACACTGTTTTGATTACTGTAGCTTTGTAATCAATTCTGAAATCAGGAAGCATAAGAACTCCAATTTTGCTCTTTTTCAAGATGGTTTTGACTATTCATGGTCTCTTGAGAATCCATATGAATTTTAGGTTGGACTTTTCTATTTCTGCAATAAAAATGCTATTGGGATTTTGATAGGGGTTGCATTAACACTGTAGATCACTTTGATAGTATTGATATTTTAACAATATGAAATCTTTTAATCCCTGAGCAAGGGAGATCTTCTATTATTTATGTTTTCTTAAATTTCTTTTTGCAATTTTTTATATTTCCTAAGGTATAAATTTTTCTCCTCTTTGGTTAAATTTATTCCTAATATTTTATTCTTTTTGATGCTATTATATGGATTTCTCCATTCATTTCGTTTTCAGATTGTTCATTGCTGGCATATAGAAATATAACTGATTTTTTTGTTTGTTTGTTGATTTGCACACTGTAGCTTTGCTGAATTTGATTATTAATTCTAATAGTTGTGTGTGTTGTTTGTGTGTGTGTGTGTGTGTGTGTGTGTGTGTGTACAATTAAAGCCCTTTTTAATGCTAATAAGATCTGAGTAAGAGACTCTGTTTGCCCTTGATATTTCCTTCACTACCTTTCCCAGTTTTTCTTGGTTCTCTATGCTTTAGTAATCACTAAGAATATTGAGGGGAAGATGGTTTGCTCCAAATGCTGCCACAAGCAGGACCTCTTGGGTTGGTGTTTGGGCTGCAAGTGGATTGGTATTTTTAGGATGTGCTTGGTGTTTGGTACCCCAATGCTGAAACCTTGCCCCTGTACTTTCCCTACCATCATGACATCCCACCTACATTTAAAGTGAGTGGGTGAGAGGGGCCTAGAAACAAGAAATTTGTTGCCTCAGGAATCCCTCTGGGCCAGCCAACCTAAGGCAGAGCCTCTTTTCTTGAACAGCATCTTGGTGCCTTTCCTGAAGAAGATGGAGTGAATAGATTCTAATCCCATCATTTGCTGCATTAGAACCCCTGATTTGTATGATCGGGTGCCTGAGGTGGCATCATAAAGATGGACCTCTGAGACCTGAACACTTGGTTTGGGTTCATAAAAGCATTGAGTAGAAAAGCAAGTAGTACATATTGTTTACTAACAGAATAATGCTATCATACCACCCAACTATGTTTCTTTCCAACTATGTCTTGACTCTATACTGATGTTGTCTTCCAATTCCTTCTATGCTAGGAGAGTTGAGCCTCCCCATTTGATATTCCTATCTTTCAAGGGACCTTTCCACTTACTACTCATGGGATGCTTTCATTCACACATTTCTGATCTACCTCTTACATAATCCTCTTTTTGCCACTGCTAGTTTAACCTAAAGGAAACTGAATTATCTGAGCTAAATTCTGCCATCATCTCTCTCTCCGGGTACTGATCAGTCCTCAGAATCTTCAGGATTTACGGGTATGTAAATCCTGTACTTCTTTTTGACCAGGTCTCTTACAAAACTTATTCCACCATTTCAGGATCACCTGAGGCTCGTGGTCACTGTGACCCAGGTCATCCACCAGTCAAGCATTACTAAAGCTCCTGTAAAGTAGCAGGAAGATAATAGGATTTAAGGTGGTACCTGTGAAATGAACAGGATAGAGCCCAGCCTCTAGGCCAGCCTCTAGGCCAGCCTCATTTCAGTTTCAAATTCTGTGTAGCCCAGTAGTCCAGAACCACAGGATCAGTACCTGTCATGGAAATGGAAATTCTTAACTTGGAATCTGACTCTCACTGGCAAAGAAGGATCTGAGAATATCATGACCTATGGCATGAGCTTAAACTATCACTATCAATAAAAAAGCACAAGAAGAGGAAGAACAGATGAAGGATGAGATCACTGTCCACACAAACTTCTTTCCTGTCCTGGGGGCTCCAGCTAAGCTGATGACATCTTTCTTCCTACCTAAGGCTACCTGGATTCTGTCCATGTGGCATGCCATCTTACCTAGGTGCATCACCATCTTCCAGACCCCACCTAATGACATAACTACACTATAAATTAGAATATCAAGAAGCCCTGCTCTAAGTTTTAGGACTCTGGAGACCCTAGGATCTTTTGTAGCCTCTCCTGGGCCTCTTGCAGACACAGACATACTTTAGTGTCATAGTTCAGAACAATAGCAGTTTTCTGATGCTTGATTCCCTGGCCAAATGGGGCCTATCTTCTAATGACAAGGTAAAGCCATGAACACCAGACTGGTTGAGAGATTCATGAAAGCCCTGGTTTCTCAGGTTCAGGAAAAAGATGATCCCAGATCCTTCCTTGTATACCATATGAAACTCTGTTCTCTAACTTTTAGGTCTTTAGTCTTCAAACTTTCCCTGGAGACTCTTCTGACAGCACTAGGGGGAAGATGAAGTAAAAAGAACTCCAGACCCTCTCTTCCCCATGTCTCTGGCTTCTTTTCTCTTATACTTTGAACATCATCCCAATATTTTATCAGAACAATGGATTCTACCACTTTTTTAATAGGTTGGGAAAGCAGTGATCTGTTTCAAGGGCACAACTCTGGCTGGCACTCCCAGAAGTGAAGCACATTCACCAGATGGTACTCTCACTATAAAAGGTTGGCACCTCCACTAGAATTCTGGCTACAAATACATTATCCATCTCATCCCACTCAGGATCACTGGGCAATATGCCTCTGGACAAAGGGCAGGATTCTGCCAATACACATTCTGCCTACCCCATATAAACTCAGCCCTCACCTCCACACAGACATACCAGGGGCACCCAGGACAGTCTAGGTCGAAGCCCACACCACCCAGGTGAAATATGGACTCACAGAGCCTTGCTGGAGAGTCCCTCCACTGCTAACTTTGGCCAGTCTGTTCTTTATTTTCAATGAAGAACATTTCATTTTCAACCTTTTCCCGGCTTCAGGCTATGATTCTCACCAGCCTTGTCTCCCTCATACTAAGAATCCAAAAGCCCCCTTCTGTCTAGCTATGCTTGTTAGGGAATGATGGGTTTTCTTAGGCTCTAAGATCTTTTTTTTTTTAAAAAAAGATTTATTTATTTATGCATATAAGAACTGGGGTACAGGCCAGAGGTGGGGGGGGTGAGAGAATCCACCAGAGAGAGTGGGGAACAGAACAGGCAGACTGACTGAAATATACCGCTGAGGGGAGCAGTGGGCGAAACATGAGAGGTCTGCTGCACCATGTGGGTGGCTCCCTGGCCAGCTGGGGATCAAACTCCTGCTGGAGAGGCTGCTGATAGCTTGACAGTGCTGTGCTTAACCGTTTATACCACCAGGAAGGCCCGGGCTCCAGGATCTTGAAGGTGAAGCCTGAAGCAACATTTCCACCCATACATCTCCCAACTTATATTGCCCTGGTGAAGCCCCACCCAAAATTCAGAGAATTACCTTGGTGCAGAAGTGAGTGAGCCTTTAACAGCAGGTCCTGTGGGGCTGAGCCCCTCCATTCCAGGCTCCTGAAGCCTGACTTGCTGACAGCTAAGCCCTGGTTTCCAGCTCCTATCTCCAGCTTTCTCCAGGGGACACAGGTCAAGTTTTCAGTCCCTTTCCTGTTATTTCTGCCACTCCCATAGGAAAGGTGGACACAGTGAAGGATCACACCTGCTCTCAGGTGGCAATGCAGGTCTACAGGCAGAACTTGCTCTCCCATGGTATGAACACTAATTCTAGCCATTGCCACTAGGCTGAGCAGCAAGAGTATACTTCTCTTCTCCAGACACAGTCTGAATACAAAGACCTTCTCTTAACAGGGCTGAAATGTCCAAAATAGCATTTCCTAAACACTGAGAATAAAAAGGTCAAACACAGAATAACGTTATATAGGTCTCTACCCCAGCAAAGAATCACTTCCCACAAAGGCATTAATAAGCCTTTCTGGGCTTTTCTAGGACCTAGGTTTTCCTGATGGAAATCTGGGTTGAGTTTCTTTCCTCCAAGAGTCTGTAAATTATGCCGCCCTCTTGGAACCCAATCCTGTCTTTGCAGCCTGTTCACTCCTTACACCTCTTTGCAGAGCTAGACAGCAGTGAACTATCTTCCTAAACAACCCTGGCTTACACTGGGGAGCCCCAGACTTAGGGTCCCCAGGTCACTCCTGGATTTGTCTCCAGAGGACCGAAAGCTGTTTGTTGGGATGCTGGGCAAGCAGCAGGGCGAGGAGGATGTCAGACGCCTGTTCCAGCCCTTCGGCCATATCGAGGAGTGCACCGTCCTCCGCAGCCCGGATGGCACTAGTAAAGGTGACTTGTGCAACTCTGGTGACCCTGTCTTACTCTGAGCCCCATGACTCTTTGGCCCCATGGCCTGATCTACCCAGTCCCTCTCTCCTGCCCCAGGCTGTGCCTTTGTGAAGTTTGGGAGTCAAGGGGAAGCCCAAGCGGCCATCCAGGGTCTGCACGGCAGCCGGACCATGGCGGTGAGGGCGGGCGTGCAGGGCAGAGGGTGAGGCCAATGGGGGTGGGGATGGGCTCCTCCTCCCCATGTGCGATCCTGGCCACCAGAAAGGATGGGGAAGGTGCTCGGCCCAGGGCTGGGGCTATATCTGGACCGGTCAACGCGACTTCCCCTGCCCTGCCCTGCCCTGCCCTGCCCTGCCCAGGGCGCCTCGTCCAGCCTCGTGGTTAAGTTAGCCGACACCGATCGGGAGCGCGCGCTGCGGCGGATGCAGCAGATGGCGGGCCAGCTGGGTGCCTTCCACCCGGCACCGCTGCCGCTTGGGGCCTGCGGTGCCTACACCACAGCGGTAGGTGCCTGGCTGCGACGGGTGGGGCAAGGGAGGGAATGGGGGGGTTGGGAATCCAGGCAGAGCCCACCACCGGGCTCTCCACACAAACCCCTTTTTCCTGCCCCAAGATCCTACAGCACCAGGCGGCGCTACTGGCTGCGGCCCAGGGCCCAGGCCTAGGCCCAGTGGCTGCAGTGGCAGCACAAATGCAACACGTGGCGGCCTTCAGCCTGGTAGCCGCACCGTTGTTGCCTGCAGCAGGTAGGGGCATGGGGGTAAGAGGACTGGAATCAGGGCTGGGAGGGGCCCAGCAGGGCTGTGGTCTGACTTTTGGGCCTCCTCTGCCACCAGCAGCCAGTTCTCCACCTGGCAGCGGCCCTGGCACCCTTCCCGGCCTCCCTACGCCCATCGGGGTCAATGGATTCAGCCCCCTCACCCCCCAGACCAATGGGCAGGCGGGCTCCGACACTCTCTACAATAACGGGCTCTCCCCTTACCCAGGTGGGTCCCTCTCAGTCAAAATCTACCCCAAATGGAATGGGGAGGTGGGAGTCAGCGCCCCAGGCCTGCTGGGAAGGGAATCATTGTACTTCTCAGCAGCCTTTCATAGACTTGCTCCACCCCCCACACTCCCAGAGCCTCTCTCCTCTTTCCCAGCCCTCCTTCACCATGGGCCTTGGGCCCCTCTCTCCCCAGCCCAGAGCCCTGGTGTGGCTGACCCCCTGCAGCAGGCCTACGCTGGGATGCACCACTACGCAGGTTTCACTTGGCGCTTTGCGGCCTGGGCGGTTGAAAGGTCCCAGAAGGGGACAGGGGGTGGGCGTGGGGGTGTTATGCTCTGTTCTCAGGAGTCAACCCTCCACTACCTTCCCCTCACTCCTAGACCCAGGCAAACTTTCTAGGGGTGAGGGTTGTGGTGGACTGGGCTGGATTGGTCAAAGGTGGCCAGGCAGGTGGGACCCTGCTTGGGGGATGCACTGCCCACTCCCATCTCTGTTTCCAGCAGCCTATCCATCAGCCTATGCCCCAGTGAGCACAGCTTTTCCCCAGCAGCCTTCAGCCCTGCCCCAGCAGCAAAGAGAAGGTAAGAGGTAGGGGACTTGAGATCAAGGTCCGGTGGGGCTGGATTCAGCGTCCCTCCCCTGATATCCAGCCTGCCACTGTTCCTGCAGGCCCCGAAGGCTGTAACCTCTTCATCTATCACCTGCCTCAGGAGTTTGGTGATGCAGAACTCATACAGACATTCCTGCCCTTCGGAGCCGTTGTCTCTGCCAAAGTCTTTGTGGATCGAGCCACCAACCAGAGCAAGTGTTTCGGTGAGCTAAGCACCATATCCAGGCCTCTCCTGCTCCTAAATTTGAGATTTTCCATAAACCCTAAGGTTTTCTCTCCATAAGTCAGTGATTCTTAGAGACATATGGGCACAAAGCAGGGCCTCACACTAGTGATAGGGCTAAGCCCAGACCAGGAACAAATCTATTCACATTCACCTGGGAAGGGCAGGTTTCTGGAATATGTTTGCCCAGGTAAGGTTTCAGAGTTTAGACAGGGCAGGAGGAGTCTGGATCTGGGACCAGAGATTCTCTCTCCAACTCTAGTTCAGAGGACCAGAGTGATAGCTGTGGCGGGAGAGAGCCAATCCAAACCAGGGAAAGACAGGGAAATACCCTCACCCACACACAGAATTGTCTCCTGTTCTTCCAAGAACCACACCTTTAGGAATCTCAGGTCATTTACCCATGTTAGTATGAGTGTGTCCATGTGTGTATGCTGCAAACAATGAAAGAGTATATGTTTGGTGGAACTGAGGGGCAGAGGTAAGAAGGGGTTAGTCAGTAGAAAAGAGGAGGCCCTGCCAGGTAGAATTCCTTGCTAATCTCTCTGCCCCTCCCCTCCCAGGGTTTGTTAGCTTTGACAATCCAACCAGTGCCCAGACGGCTATTCAGGCCATGAATGGCTTTCAAATTGGCATGAAGAGGCTCAAGGTCCAGCTAAAGAGGCCCAAGGATGCCAATCGGCCTTACTGATCTGCTCTCACTGACCAGCCACAGAAGTGAGTCACTGGTGGACCCCAGGTAGATGGGACTTGAATAATGAGGCTCTGTCAACTTTGATGGAATGTTGGGGGTGCCCATCTCTGAAAGTCTCAGAGACTGAGAAAAGCCAGGAATTACAAAGAATTCTCAGTTGGAGATTCTGTTTTTCCCTCGACATTGAACAGTCTTGCCCAAAGTCTGGGAAAGACAATTATGGACAAAATTCCTACCAGTTCCTACTCCAGAGAGAGTCACCAGGAGGCATGGACTACAAAATTCATGTGTGGGGAGGGAAGAGGACTGAAGAATGAGGCTAGAAAAGTGGGTGTGGGCTAGCTTATAAAAGGTCTTGACGACCATGAGTTTGGGTTTTACTCTGTACAGTAGAGAATCACTGAAGAGTTTAAGCAAAAATGTAAGGCCTGGGATAATGACAGTAGAGATGTGGAGATAAGCAAATACCCTTAGGAAGCAGGATCTGTGGGACCTGATGGATAAGGGGGTGACGGGGAAGGGTGACACACTTTCTTAGGCTTCTGGCAGGGCCAGCTGCCTGTGACCTTTAGATTTGCTGTAATAGAAGGCGCAATGGGCTGGCTTCACTTAAGCTACCCCAGGGAGGTAGTGTTGGTCTGGGGTCATCTGCTTGGGACCCACGGTCAGGCTTCAGTGTATCAGGCTGTGGTTTTGGCCCTGACAAAGATCTGCTTCTCAGGAAGAGAGGTCTGACCCCTCATCTGAGATGTGGCAAACAGGTCAATCGGCTCATGTCTTGCCCTCCAGAGTGACTTTTGCTTCTCCCCCTCCCCTATCAATTAAAACCCAACAACAGAAACTGAAGAGTGAGAAGAAAGGAGAGAAAAAGCACAGCAACGCTTGAGCAGCCCTTCCTGAAGGAGCAGCCACAGACGGAGAAGGATCGGACCCAAGGCTGGCGCCTGGGACTCAGGCCACTTTAAGGATAGTTTTAATCACATGGGTTGTTCTGTGCCTGTGCCAAGAGCGCAGGCTGGCTAGGCAACAGGGGCTGGCTGAGGACTGACCATCTAGGGGAACCAGCAGAGGGCCTTGGGGGTGCCAAGGGCTTATCTACAAAGGAAGCCCCAATTACTTCTTTCAAAATCATATCATTCCTTAGAGTTTAGGGACCAAAGGACTATTGCTTTTTTAAGAATATATATATATATATCTATATAAATTAAAAGAAACATACAAAAAAAAACCACAAGAGAAACTAAAATGACAGTATAGAGTCTCATAAAAGCTGCCTTTAAATATCCCTAGGAGACAGGGTGAAGGAGAACCCTTGAAAGCCCCAGCCTAGGCAGAGGGAGGCTGTGGACGATTGTTCTGTGTTTCATTCCCTCTTAAACCATCCTTTTCTCCACCTGCCTTTCAAAACTAAGGACTTCTGTCTAGGCTCAAATGCAGGCAACAAGTGAGTTATAGGAGCAGTGATCCCACAACCTCCAATCTCAGAGAGCATCTCCAAAGAGATCCCGGGAGGAGCCCTGGTGTGCCTGGACCTTTGTCACCCCGAGAGGGCCCCTAGCCAACAGAGGGTTCCTGCGTTTCCTTCCTGACAGCCTTTCCCGCGGAACCACTGCTTCCTCGGGCAGGAAGAACCAGGGAGCTTGGCCACTTCAGCCTTTCCCTTCCTTTTCCAGATAGACAGAGGCTCTGCCTTTGGCTGAGTAAAGAAACCTTCTGTTTCTCTTCACCTTGAGCCAGCCCCAGTGTCCCCTTGCTCCAGGCCACCTTCTGTCTTGAAGTCTGAGTTTGCCCACCTATGAAGTAGAGTCGGGATATGTATAGAGGGCTGTGACAACAGACTTGGAAGGTTTGCTACTGTAAATACTGCCATTGAGAAGGGGATAATTTTCAATATGTAGAAGCTTCAGAATTTAGAGGTCCCTCCTTACCCAGGGCCTGAGAGGGAAGTAGATGTTTTGCCAAAATACTTCTTCATTCCTTTAAAAAAAAGTACATCTTTCCTATGCAAGTGTCTCACATGTGCTTATCCAAGGTGCTTCTAGATGGTGAGCAGTGTTCAGCTTAGAAGTGGTGTGTGCTCTGTCTGTCTGTCTTTGTCTGTCTGTTGTATACAGTGGGTGCCATATAAAGCTGATCAATGGTGGTGCTTCCTGCCTGCTTCTGTGAGATGGGCAAAGATTCAGCTTAGAACACCGTGACTCACCTCGCCTTGGTCAGCCTTTCCTGGGCCTGCAGGGCCTTGCACATACTTTTCCCAGGAGGATAATTTCCCCTCCAACCCCTAGACATGGATCAGACTTGTCTGGGGCCCAACTGTGTGGTGGTCACAATGATCCCCAGAGATTGCTGAGACTGCAAGTTACTGATCTGATAACACATCAGACAGTAAAGGATATGAGGGTGGGGTTGGAGGGTTCCTCCCTCATAACAGTTTCTAAGAAAACTTATTCCCACCTGTTCCTCTGTCTTTGACTCATTTTTGGAGGGAATGGGAGTGAAAAATAGAAATGGTAATAACATTACCAGGTACAATGGGGTGTGTATCGACAAATCATTTCCAACTGAGAAAGGAACCAGTGTCAAGGTCATTTGCACAACAGCACATTACTGACACACACACACTGCCACCAGGGGCACAGATGGACATATGTAGCACCTGCACACTGAGATACTCAGATGGAGGCATGGCCCCCTCCACCCCTGACCCATGCTAAATGCTAAGCATGGAGCTGGGGCTCAGGCACGTTCTAAGTACTCAGAATTAGGGGGAAAGACAGATCAATAATTCAATGATAATGGAGTGCCACACAGGATTCCTAATAGCAAGAAGAATATCTAATTCTGACTTGGTTGGTAAGGGAAGTCAAAAAAGTTTTCCTGAAGGAAAGGAAGGGTCCCTGAGTGTCAACTGGGACATTTGGACAACACTGTTTGGACAGCCTCATCATTTTGATAAATTATCTTTATTACCAAGAAATAATTTTGATTACCATTTATTCAGTGACCATGGTGGCACATTTCCCCCATTCTTAACTCTACCTTGAATCCTAACTCATTACTGAGTCATGTCAAGGCACTTGAACCAAAATGATTTTTAAAGTATTTTGCTTCATGGCTAGGAACTGGCAGACTGTGTCACTCTAAATCTGCAGGAGTTAGTGTGGTCTAGATCAGGGATTGGCAACTATGGCCTCAGGGCAAAACTGGCTTGCTGCCTATTTTTGAATGGCCTACAAACTGAAAGTGGTTTATAAAATTTTAAAGGATATAAAAAAAGTATGACCATATGTGGCCCACAAAACCTAAAATATTTATCTGGTCCTTCAGACAAAAAGGATGCTGACCCTATGAGATCATGGAAGATTTTTATAATGTCTAAGGAGTTTGAGCAACATGGTGTTTGTGTCTCTGTTTGTGTGTGCATGTATTAGTCTGGACCTTTTCAGCTGCAACTGCCAAACACCCAACTCAAACACGATCGAGCCAATAGGAAGTTAATTGGCTTAATAATTGATAAATCAAATAACTTACATACCTTCAGACATGGCTGGATCTAGGGGCTAAAAGGACGGTGTTTTCATTTATTGTCTATGCCCCCTGCTATATGTAGCACTAGATCTAGCCTCACTAGATCTAGCTCTAAAGTCCTAGGGAGGACTTTAGCCAAAATGGACATGTACCTATCTCTAGGATAGAAGAGTAGGCCACCATCATTGACAACTTCATCAGGAGGGGAGAAATGGGTCCTCAGTGAAAGGTCTGATGGGCAGATAAGCTATATACATCCACTGTATTCTATGCCTTCTATTGTTCAATATCCATCTGTACTTTTCTTGACAAACATACAATCTCAAAAATGTGCCTTCCTAAAAACACAATGATATTAGGCCCTACAGAAAACACATCCACTTTCAAACAAGAACAGAATCATAACCAGTTTTTTTATTGGGTCTTCAGTCCAGGATCCCTTATTAATATTTAATTTTAGATTAGATCTGGATGTGGCTTCTTAATGATTTTGCAATCTATGGCTAAAATATTTAGCTATCGCCAATATGAAACTATGGAGGAAGACAGGATAACCATTTTAAAAAGAAATTTCCATTTGGAATAGGGGAGAAAAGAAAACAATGGTTACTAATCTATAACACAGAGCACATCTTTCTGGACAGTGGAGTGAGTTTCTTGGTACACAAAACTGATTGGTCTTGGTCCTTTCCACTGGAAAATAGCTCCCCTGGAGATGGACATATATCCATCTCCAACGGAAATATATCCATTGTCCTTTATGGATATCCATGACAGATGCCCCTTCTGGAATCGAAGTGTTCCTCCTCCCTTTGGACATGATTTGGATCCTAAGGATTGCCTTAGCAATTATACATTTCTAGATCCTTGAAGGCCAGATGTAAGGCTTCTCTGATGATACTTTTTTTTTTTCCAAATCATTGACTTGATGCCTGAGCTCTCTGAGCCATTAACCATCATCAAGAATCTTGCTGAGTACTTTTCCTTGAGCCTAGATCTTAGCCTGTAGTTTGTACCTCTAAGCAACAGGTCATCCTTTGCCCATTCCCTTCCCCCTCAACTTCATAACTTCCATATGGCCTGACTATGGTGGTGAGTCAACTTTAACCTGCTCAGTTCTCCCAGAGGGAAATGGCATATTCTGCACATGACTGGCTCATGCTCCAGTGGCCCTGACCAGACAGTCAAAATCCCTGAGTGGTCCTGGTTCCTAGACTTTAGCCCCAAGGGGATGCTTAGGGCAGGAATAAGGCTACCATCTGGTCAACAAGTTGCAGCTCTACTCCTTGCACTCTAACCATGGCCCATTGTTACCCTGAAGCCACATCAGCAAAGCACTCTTGAGGGGAGTCAGAGTGGGCACAGAATTTGGGGGCTCTCTGAGAATCTTTATAACTTGTGGATTATGGGCAGTCACCAAACTTCAGTAGGATCCCTGGAATTTCTTCTCATGGATGCATTCTGGGTGTCCTGGATGTAGGGATAAAATATCTTTGTTTCTGTGATGGTACTAAAGATGTCTGACCTTGGAGCAGCACTGAATCTGCTGTGTGCTTTCATCAGACCTGCAGTCTCCCTCTGACTCAGGAGAATAGAATATACATGCAATACCCTCCCAAAGAAGCTTCTAAGGATGTGAAGATCACAGAGGCTCTCAATCTGTTCCAGCTTTGCTTGTGATCTTTGGGCATCCACCAACCCGGCTGCACCTGTCTGCATCATGACACAGCCAAACTCAGCAGGGACTCCAGACTATTTTTGGCCTCTGGACCTCTCCTCACAACCAGTATATTTACACAGTTATGTTACATAGCCCTGTGTTCTTTTGGAGAGCCAACAAAGGAAGAAACCTCCTGGGCTCAGAAGGCTCAGAGCCCATGCAGGCAACGCAGCTGCCCTTTTCAGCCTGAGCCATGTAGGGTCTGCAAAGAGGTGACCAAGTTTATGCCAAAAACAAACTCAGAAAGGTCAGCGAGCCATTCTTTTTCTCCCCAGTCCTGGCTTCAGATGCTGCCATCACAGTGTTCTCTACCCACTTGCAACCTGGGCTAATCAAAACCTTTGACTGGCCATCTGTAGATGTGACTTTGAACGTCCAGGTTCTGGCCTCCTGTCTTCTAGTTGTCTAAGAGTGCAGAGACCCAGCGGGTAGAGCAGGCTGCAAGCCCAAGTCTGACTTTTTTCAAGGGAAGTTTTAGGTGCCCAGTAGAAAATGCAGGGGACCACAAAATGCACCTGTGAAATGAGCCTCTGCATCTCCTATGGAGTAGGTCAGAAAAAGCCTGACTCAGTGACCTTGGCATGGGACCTTGAGAAGAAGCCAGCATTCTCAGCTAGATGCCTTGCATTTGAGCAGGAAAAAATCAGGCATGCCCTGATGACTTTCTCACTACCCCACTGTTAGGACTCAGCACTGGGATAAGGGCTTTGATTGTGGTGGTACATCACTGCCCACATACTCTAGAAAGCAGACTCTGAGACAAGTATTGAAGAGGAGAGATGGAAATCTATGATGATGAGAAGGAGCCATGAGGAAGAACAGGTCATTTGATAGGGTTGTTTGTTAAGCACACGATCTTAGTAAGGAGAAGCCCTATGTTGGAGCAGTTGACCAAGAGGAGACTCAAGATAGAATTTATCCCTATGTTCCCAATCATCTGTTTTCAACTGGCCAAGGTGCGCACCACAGAGAGCTAATTCCACTTTCCTTCTGAGTTGTATCATTTGCATCCTGGGTGACTGCTCGGGGAATCAGAGCCAGTCATGTGACATTTCTACCACAGATAAAGAGTCTACTTGGCATAGGTGGGGTGCCAACCAAGAGAAAAGAGGTGGCCTAGGGAGTCCAAGAAGATGCATGAAATTTGTAACCAGTACATCCCACTCTCTCCCACAGGATTCACAGCCAATGTCCCCAAGCACCAGCATCCCAGCGCTGCCTAAATTCTAAATGGAAATAAACATTATTTAATTTGGAAGGAAAAAAGCATTCAGGTGTAACTTGGATGATCAGGCCTTTTCTCTGGAACACCCCAGGCCCTAAATTCCAATATTTTCCATTGGCTACCCCAAAACTTTATGTCTTTATTTCACTCACTTTAGTTTGGGAAAGAGGACCTGGCTTTGCTAATCTATACAACACATGATCATCTGAAATTTGGCAGTCTAGTTTACTGGTCACAGATAGAAAAGGAAAAGAAATAAAACTGTATATGGGTCTAATTCTGCCAGCATGGAAGAAAGCTGGATCAAGACCAACATACTCCAACATCCAGACATTATTTCAATGTACCCCTCAAATCTTCATCCATGGTAGATGCATGACCCAAATTTCAAGATAAAATAGAAGATCATTTAACCAACTTACTTAAAACCCTGTATTAGAGGTTTCTAGCTTCCCGGCCCAGGCCTCTCAGACCATCTCACTTCATTTTGCCAGTTGCACATTGCAGAGTTTGTTGTTGGCACACTCCATCCCATTTCTGTATTAGGACTGACTTAACTGCAAATGCTAGGAAACAGCACAAACCAGCTTGAGCAAGAGGGGAACTGAGAAGTGCAGTGGTTTTCTGTCTTCAGGGGGCAGAATCCAAGGACTCAAACATGTCACCAGGTCTCTTGCTCCACTTCTAAGGGCTCTGCTTCTCTCTGTGCCTCGGCCCCATTTTCTTGCCATAGACATATTTTCTTTATGTGTGGGGAGATATGGCTGTCAGCAGCTTCAATGTTATATTCTTCTGGATGGTATCATGGCCTCAAAAGCAAGAGAGCTTTGAGGGAGAAGTTATGATTGCCTCCACTTAGGTCACAAATCCATACCTGGGCAAATCACTTTGGTCAGGGTAATGGAACCCCCTGCCCAGTCTGAACAGTCATGGGGAAGGGAGAAGGGGCAGAGGTGGCATTGTGACTGTCAGCCCCACCAAATAATTGCAGAGT